GATAAAGATAGAATATTCTTTAAAATTTCAATTAAATATTGTAAAGTTAAATTACATAATCAAGATTCGTTCCTACTGATAGAACGTATGAGTAGAAGGAAGCTGCAAGTCCGCGTTTTTGTGGACCGAGACCCGCAGCTCCCTATAGATGAGTAGGGATTGTTTGTGATCTGTTAATAAAACTTTGTTGAAAGTTGACTATGTCGCATATCACTATCGTTAATTTCATTGGATAAATTTTCTCTAGAAAATCTTCGTGTCTGTTTTTCTATTTATTAATCTGAAGTTTGTTTGAAAGATAGATGGCGCTACGAGTTTTTTTCTGATTTTTTTAAAATGCTTTTCTCAGAAAAGGATACTAGTTTACTTGAAGTAAAACATAGCACAACGCGAAGATGTAAAGGCACTATGTCTAACGTAAACTAGTACTTAAATTTCTAATTGTTATATCATATGAATCCATTGAAATGATAGAAAATTATGATAACATTCTTCATATTTTAAATATGATTTCATGTTAATACTCATTTAATCAAATAAACAGAGAACATTCTCGATCAAACAAGTACGCTTGTAAGTTATCATATATTGGCGTATTATGTAGTTCATAAGGGAATGCTTTCAACTGATTAATTGCTTTCTTACTAGGTTATTGATCATATTCTTTATGAATATGACCATGAAAAATTCCCATAGGTCTTCATATACTAGTTTTATGGACTAACAAAAATTTTTTTGTTTTTTTAACATATCGATTTGCTTGAAAAACAGAAACTTTTAATATTTGAAATTGTGCTAACGATATTATTCTTACAGAACTAAATAGTCTGAAAGTTTTTATTATTTAAACTTCGTTGGCATGAGAACTTCTCTCTAGTGTTAAATCGTTTTTACGACCGATATGATGTTCATTTGATGAGTACTAGAAAAGTCCAGATATAGACAAATCAACTTTCCACAAATAAAAATTTCAATGAGATTAGTTCATTGAACAAGTTGTAACTTTTATCTGAAGATATTCAAAATTCTCTTATGTGTATAAAAACAAATTTTATTTTCATCTCCACAAAATGAAATATTAGAAAAGTTAGAAATTGTACAATGAATTAATCATATTGAAAACTTTGTTCATGGAAAGTTGCTTTTCTATATGACCTGAAGCGAATCACCTCATAAAATTTTGATATCTCAAGAATGAAGGTTTGGAAAACTAAACTATTCTAGTTTTTTCTATTAGAACATCGTCTCGATCGAAAAAAACACACGATTTGACACTTGGCACAATTTCCTCATCAGTTCAATACATAAAAAGTTTGCGTAAGATAACAAATAGACTTCTACGATGTCTTATTTCTAAATTGACTAAAGGACATACTGATCATTGTGCATAAATGCTCGATTTCTTTTTCATTCCAACTCATCAGATAGACATTTTTGACAGTGAAAAATATTAATTTCTTATTAATTATAAAAACTCAATGATTACTTTTGAAGTTGGTGAAATTGGTCGTGTACGTCTCATAATTAAATCTAAACGTTTTTTTCTTTCATTTCTTTCTTGTTCTTCTTTTTGTACTCGTTCTTGACGTTCACGATTAAGACGTTCAGTTTCTTCTGCTTGTTTTCTTTCGAATTCTTCACGTTGTTGTTGTAAACGTTGTTCTTCTTGTCGTTTTAATTCATTTTCACGTTGACGTTCTTCAATAGCACGTTGTAAACGTTCTTGTTCAATACGATGTTGTTCTTCAACAAGACGTATTTGTTCTTGTTCACGTTCTTGTTCTTCTAATTCTAATTGATGTTTACGTTCTTCTTCACGTTGTCGTTCAATTTCTAAACGTTGTTGTGCTTCACGAATTTTTTGATTTAATTTACGTTGATATTCTTGTTCATCAATTAATTGTTGTTTTGAATTTAATTTTTCATCATTAATAATTAATTCTTCATTCACCGGTAGATTTTCTTCTTCTTCATTATTATTATTATTATTTATTATTGATTGATTTTCATTTGTTATTGTTGTTGTTGTTGTTGTTTTAGATGATCTTGTTGGTGATGTTACAACAATACGACGTTTATTTGTTATTGGTATTGCTGAAGATGAAATTGAAGATGATGAATTTGATGTTGTCATTAAAGAACGTTGTTGTGTAGATGGTTTTGAACGAGAAAATGAAGATGTCATTGGTGGTTTTGTTGAAGAAGATGTAACTTTTGAATGTATTGTAGGACGATGTATTGATTGTTTATTCGATGATTCATCTGTTGGTGATGTTCGAGATTCATTATTTGATGTTGGAACAGTTGCAGGACGAGTATGAATATGCTGAAGAACAAACAAAAAAAGGAAATAAATTTTCATGAGAATTCATTTGTATTATTTTGAATTTTATTTACCCTTCGATTATTGGAAGATATTGAAGAAACAGCTGAATTTGTTAGACGAAGTTGATGACTGGATCTTGATATTGGTAAATTATTTGATGATGATGATGATGTTGCACTAATATGTACTGATTGTGTCATTGCAAGAGTTTTTGGTTTAGATAGTCGATGAATAGTTTCATTTAAATGTTGTCGATTAGTATTTAATATTCGATGTTGAGATTCATTATTATTAATTTCATCTCGAGCTAATAAAATAAAAATATACATATTTTTGAATTTATATTATTCATTAGATTAATCAAACAACAGTAATATGCAGACAAAAGGTAAAACAAACATGCACATATATATGTTAGATTAAAAGCTAATAAGGAATATAACTCGGGTAAGGATTGGATACCTCTAGAAGCTCGAGGACATCGTTCAACACTATAACTATAATGTGATCGACATTTTGCTGCGTATGTCGAACGCATAAAATTTGCACTGTTATTATTATTATTATTATTATTATTATCACCGGTATGTAACCAATATGCATATGATGTTGTCATCGGTCGTGTTTGACTACGTGCCGATGAATGATGTGTACCTGATAATAAACTCTCATCATTTGACTGATCATCATGATGTGGTTGTTCGTCAATCGGATTAAGTTGATGAGAACTGATGACAACTATAAGTGTAGAGAAAGAGCTTTTTCTATTAGACAAGCATATCCCATTAAAAAAAAAAAAGTAAATTAGTAATATATTTCTTTCCAAAAACAAAACAAAAAAGAAAATAAATTATAAATTGAAAACTTACTAGTTGAATTATCATCAGGAGAATCATTCGATGCTTGTTGATTTGTCATATCTAATTAAATTAAAAATATTTTCAAATCATATTTTATTATATAATCTATGTAATTCAAATTAGATAAAAACCGCTGGTATAGAGAAAATCAACCGACGGTAGTTTGATACTCTATCAGTCCACTATCAAGTGGTAGTGCAAAAACAAAAACAATGTGTAGTATGAGAAATAATTACCTTGATGATTTGAACGTAATCGTGATGCTGAAATAGCTCGTCGAGTTGAAATTATATCTGTAGACATACTCATTACAGAATCAGGTTTATGTGGTACATTGATTCTACGAATAGAAAAAAAGAAGAGAATATTTATAGATGATGTTTATAAATAATATAATGATTAGTTTACTTTAGATTATGATTGACTCTTTGTTGATAATTTTGTTCGCGTTCTTTTTCACGACGTAATATTTCATCAATTTTAGCCTTTGAAATAAGATGAAATTTTCAAAAAAAAAAAGGATTTTAATTAAGAAATATATATATATACTTTAGCTTCTTCTTCACGTTTTTTTCGTCTTTCTTCAACTTGTGATCGATGATCACTATCACGATTGCGTAATTGTAACCATTTTTTTACTCTTTCTACTTGTTGTTGTTGCCTAGAAATAATCAACTTAATAATATGTATATATATATATATATATATATCACTAAATTAGAATCTATCTGTTATTTACATATGTCAATCTAAAGGAATATCCAGTTTTTTTTTCTTCTATAATGTGAATCATCTATTAAAAACTAGAGACAGAAAAACTGTGGTTTGTTTTCTAGCTAATATTGTATACAAATAGGAAAGTATTTTCTTTCATATTATCGTCACTTTCTTTCTTTTCGTTCTATGACCAGACACTATACACGAGATTTGTAAGCAGAAATAACGAGGAATATGTTTTGGTGTGTTGCCATTAAAGATTAAGCAAAAAATATCAAGCTTGTACTAATGTAGATAACAAGCAAATTATAGAACTGATGAAAACGCCTGTAGGTACATAGAACAGATTGTATACACCAAGAATTAATACTAATGACTGAATACAAACAAGAATAGAAAAAAAAACAAAATACATGAAAATGTATATTTGTTATTATTGATGTATAGAAAACATAATCGATCAGTCTTTTTGTTTTTTGTTAGGTTAGTCAAAAAAAAAAACTCAATATTATCTAATAATAAAGATTAATGTTATTTATATTAATAATTATTTACCATTTTTGTTCTTTTTTTCGTAGTTGTTCTTGAAATTTTTGTAAACGTAATACTTCAGCTTCTTCTTTTTTTTGTTTAACTAATTTAATATGTTCATCAAGTAGAAGTGAACGAACACCTAGAAATAATTTTTATAATAATAATTTTCTTTTTATCTATTATAAACTTGCCATTAGTTGTTGATTTTATTGTTGATATTTTACTAGTCATCTTCGAATTAGTTGTAGTTGTTGATGAAGGTCGTTCATTTTTATTATTTTTATTATCATTTTGTTCACCATTGGCCAATGAATCTTGAAACATACGTTCTATAACAAGAAATATTTCGAAACTTAATCATTTATTTATAGTGCCATTTTATTTGTGATACTAATCACGTTTACATACACACACACACACACACACATATATATATATATATGTAAAGAGAATTCTCAAGACACCATCTATTCATTCTGAACGAAGAGAAAAAAAAACGAAGGTGTGCAAAAAAAAAAAAAAAGGAGAAAAAGGCAATCAAACTCTCTCTCTCGTTCTCGTTTTTAACAACTGCCGCCATCATGATGTCGATCATATTTAGCTGTATATGCTGTTTCTTCTTCATCATAATCGATACTATAAATTGACTTGCCACCACCATCATATATACTTTGTGTTGTACGACAATTATTTCCTGTTTCATCCATGTAATATTCACTTGATTGATAATCAGGCATGGATGATGAAGGTCGATTATGATGATGATGACGATGACGACGATGATGACGACGATTGCCTATTGTTGGTGATGGTGGTGTATTTGATATTGATCTTGTTTGATGACGTGAATCATTTGATGAACAAAATAAAAGTTTTGCAGCTTCACAACAAAATAAAAAAGCAACATTTGTATTCGTTCTTAAACGTTGAATACAACCAGGTTTTTTAACTTTAAAACAATAAATAATAAGAATAAAAATTGTTAAACAAATAATAACAAGAAGAATAATAAGAAGTTTATTTGATGATGATGTATGATGAAATTTTTCATCAAAATTTATAATTGAAGCTTGTGTTACAGTAACAAATGTTCGATTATTTATTGATATTAATTGTTTTGATGGTGATTGAGATTCCATATCAGCAAGAGATAAGATACGTAACCATTCTTCATCATCATCCGATAATGTTGTGATTGTTTTTGTTGTAGTAGTTGTTGTTATTTCAGTAGTTGATGTAGAATTTTTTTTAATTTTTGTTCTTTTAATTTTTAATGTTGTTATTGCAGTTGTAGTTGTTAAAATTTCTTCTTCTTCCTGTTCTTGTTCTTGTTCTTGTTCTTGTTCTTGTTCTTGTTCTTGTTCTTCTCCTACTTCATCTTCTTGATTAGTTATTTCTTCTTCATTATTTAGAATATTTGTATTATCTTCACTATCAATATAATCATCATGAACTTTTTGAGTTACTGGTCGATGTCTCATAAGATCAAATCGACTTAATTTTGCTCCATTTTGCACTTCAATTGTTGTTTTTTTACGTTCTTTTGTAATTGGTATTGTTGTACTTATTACTGTTGTACTTATTGTTGTTGTTGTTGTTGTTTCACGTCTTTTCCAATTACAAATAATTTGTACATTATGATCTTTTTTTATAGGACTTGCTTTTAATTCAAGATAAAAAAATAATTCAGAAAAACGATCATTTTTAACATATGTTAATGTAAAATTATGTGAACCAGAACCAAATAAAGCTGTATTACTTGTTGATGGTAATATATCCATACATTTTCTTTCAAAACGATCTGTTGCTATTTCTAAATATGATGTTTTTTTACAATCAATATTTGATAATTTTGGATATATTAATGATTTTAAACTTCCATATTGTCGATTTATTTCACGTGCATGTAATAAAACTTGTCCATTTAATATTGATGAACGTATTTTACAATGACATCGATTATATTGTCGATCTTTTGAATATGTATGACTTATATGAATTATTGGTCCTTCATCTTTCCATTTATCACATATATCTTTTGAATTTGGTATACAACCAAAATTAACTTGTATATAATTAAAATCTGGACAATTTGATACACCATTTGTTCTTATTGCTGATGATAACATTTCATTTTTTGTTAAATTTATTAAACATGTTTGTTTATTATTACATGAAAGTATATTATGACTTGTACCTTCTTGTATACAATCATATATACTAAATTGACATTCTTGTAATAATGGTTGTTTTGTATAACCATATATAATACGAATTATTTGTATATGTTCATATTGTGAACAACGAAGATTTAATTGTACTATATTAGATTGTTGAAGACAAGCACTCTCAAAATGTAATGTTTCAATATTAGCAATTGTTAAATGAATATTAGATAAGAGATATAAGAATATAAGATGGAACATTAGTAGTACTATTATTGAGCAATAGTTATATTTTATGAGAGAGAGACAACGACGACAAGTTGTGTTTGTCGACAGTCGACGACTGGACGAAGTCGGTGTGTTGACAAACAGATGAATATCAGAGGAAATAGGGAAGAGAGAGAGAAAAGAAGAGCTAGTTAAGCTCGAAAAAAAAAAGAATAAGCTAAAACACTTTCACGTACACAAAAAAGAAAAGAAAGCAATCCCTTGATGGTGATAGTTATGCAACAATACAGTCAGTGGAATACCACATTTCAAAAAGATATATTTAATTGAAGGTCTTATTGATTTACTGATAGTATAATCACAACATATCAACAAAAATCCTATGAACGTGTTTTACTTACGATTAAATTCACCTTGTTCATCATCATTTTTTTGTAATTGGACTGTATTCGTATCAATTATATACACTGAATCTGTTGTTGATTCATTATCTGAGATCGGATAGGTATCTATATATATATATATATATAAATCGTAGGTATGTACAAGGTACATGTAATTTTACCTCCATCAATTACTCTTGTCACTGATGATGTTACTTCCTCGACAAGATCATCTATTGATAAAAAAAATCATCGGATCGTAATTAATAAAATTTGATTTCTTTACCATGATGATCATTAGTTTGAATGTTTGTTAGATTTTCTTTTCAAACAAGAAAAAAATAAAATAAAATTTTTTTCTTTTATAGATTCATATTTACCTTGATTTTCCATTTTCAAATCACTAGATTAGAAATAAACATAATCATGAAGTTCATACTCATTTCTCAAGAAAAGATATCATTCATTACTCTTACTTTTTTTTTTCTTCGTCTTTATGCTTCGCTCACTTACTCGCCGTCGTCTGTTCAATAGAGAGAGAGAGAGAGACAGAGTAGGAGCGTGTGTGTGTGTGTGTGTCTTTTACCTATATATAATCTAGAAAAAAAGAATAAGAAGAAGAACGAATGAAGAGGAAACGAACAACGACTAACACATACACACACAAAATGTGCTTCCTCTCTTTTCAACGTCTTTTGTGTGTATGTGTTGCTGTGCCGAGAATAAGAGAAATGTTTCCATCTCAATGGTGCTCATACTCTATAAAGAGTGTGGCATTACGCAGAGAGAAAGAAAAGAAGAACAGCACAAAACAGAGAAAAAAAAGTAGCAACGACAGCGGTGAAGCCAAGTATATATATATATATATAAATGCTTCATCTTAATATATGTTCAATCAAATACACGTCTATGCTATTGTTATAAAAGCGACGACAAAAAAAAAAAAAAAAATCAATTAGTATAAGCTATATTATTCTCTTGAACACACGTGTCGTCTATACTAACTAATGATTAAAACGTCTGTCTTTTGTCGATCAAAAGATTTAAATTCATCGATAAATGATGATTATAAACATAAATTAAAGATCGTTAATGATAGATTGAAGTATGTCGAAAAAAAATAAAAGTGCATTGATCAAACGCATATTTTCTATGAAAGTTATAAGTAATCTTTCATATTATGATTTGTAACACGACTAAATATGTCATTCAAATTAATGTGTGACAAGATCAAAATCATATGTGTCTATAATCTAAAACAAAACAAAAAAAAATTTTTTTATCGATCTTTCATATATAATCAAAAATCGGGTTTATTTATTTGGTTATTTTTAAATATTATTCTTTTAATTTAAATACACGACATGAACCTTGTATATAAGCACAAAGTAAATGTCGTTTATCTTTTGTTATAACCATATCCATTATTTCACAACCTTGACCACCACCACTTTTCCATTCTTTTAATGGTTCACCATTTCGTATATCTAATAAACGAATATGACCATCAAGACATGCAGCATATAATAGATAACCATCATTCAAAAGACATTTAACAATACCACTTTGTAAATTAAGTGTTGTACGTAAATGTTTTGTATTTATATCCCATATATAAATATAACCTGAAAGTGTACCACAAATAAGTAAATGACCAGAACCAAATGCAACACTTTCAATTGTTGTTGCTGTTGATTCATCATCATCATCATCTTCTTCTTCTTCTTCTGTTGAAGGTTTATTTGATAATGATGATTGAAAACAAGGAAATAATGAAAGTAATTTACCATTATTTAAATTAAGTACTCGACAATTACCACCAGCTGAACCACAAGCTACTAATGTTTGTTCATCATTTAAACACATTGAAATACATTTATTATTAATATTCATTGTATTATTATCTTCACCATTATTATCATATTGCCAAATAATAGAACATTGTTTAAGATCCCATAATTTAATTTGACCATTACCATAACCACATACACATTGTTTACCTAAAGAATACCAAACATTGTCTATGAACTTATACAAAATAATATTTGAAGAATAAACAACAACAAAAAAAAAAATAGGATAATTTGTTATTTTTAAGTCATTCTTGAAAATTAGTAATAATGACTTAAGAGAAAATTCATTGTACAAATAAAAATTCTACAAGAATATATATACTATTAATACTTGTTTTAAAATATAATTCTGCTATATTGATTTGAAATTGATATCTTCTTCACCTAACTTCATTTGTTTGAGCTTTTGACTACTTTTTTTTTTAATAAAAGCTACATCTACTATTTTTTATTTTTATATTGATTCTATTATATGATTCATACAAAACAATAATTGTTTGACGTTTTTCATGTTGCTAGGTGTGAATTAAATTTCTACTGACATATGAAAAAAAAAAAAGGCGTCTCTCTTTATACATCATATACATAATAGAATAATTTTACATAATAGACTAAATTATTATAAAGTATAGCGAGAAAGAAAAACAAAATGAATAGTTGTCAGGATACAGTTTTTGTTTTTGATTACCTATTGACTACCATTATTTCCTGTGAATAATTAAAGAAAACACAAGCTCTAGGCTATTATTCCGTCCATCGGAAAACGATATATTTCTACATTAATTTTCATTATTCTTTTCGATCTATGAAATTAGAATTATAAACTTTAATATAAAGTCTAATGGTCAGATCTAATATGATTTTATATACAAAATGAACTATTCGGTTCTATAGCGTGTTGATTGATCTTCTGTGGATAGAGTTCATCGGGTTTAAGAATTTCTGAATCCGATCGAAACAAAACTTTCAAAGTTACAAGCATCACAATAAACGAAAAATGCCATTTTTTTTCTATACTTTTAACTGTTTACAGGAAAGTCATAGAAAATACGACGACTTCTCATTTTGTACTCTTTAACCCTTTCAGATTCGTGACTCAGCCAATGGATGAAATTTTGTTTGAGACTTCATATTTAATATGGGCAGTGTGTATTGTGAATATTTTCATCGAAAATTTTTAAAAAATCTTCCGGATCGTTTTCGATCCATGCCTATGCCTCCCCCACGGAGATGGCGAAGAAGTTTTTTAGAATAGAGGTGGTGTTCTAAAAACCCATCAAGCTTACTACTTGAGTGACTTCATTAGGATTATAACTCTTGTATAGATACGTGCACCGAAGTCTCTTCTATGTAATAGAGAAAATCGCTTCTCAATATCTCTTTGCATTCGCGAGTTATTCAAAGATTATGAAATTCGAAAAAACTATACTTGATAAAGTACGCTGGTACTTAAAGGGTTAAAATGGCATTATTAAATAAATTAGAGATGAACAGGACCAAGCGGTCTTTTGGTTCCGATCTAGAAAAATTTATTCCAGAATTGATTCATATCACATCTAAAATAATTCTTCAATATTCGGTTTTTTTATTTTTGATGAATGGAACTTTTTTGGGTCATCTTTAATTCATAAAATATTTTATTATAAACTTGAATTCTAACTCCAGTAAAAATTTCAATATATATTCACTGTATGAAAAAAAGAGAGTCCATAGTTTTCATGCTCAGTAAACGAGGAAAGATTCTCAACTGATCTTACGCTGTTTTCAATGATATTTTGTTTATATATTAGAAACATTATTCTAAGAAAAGTCCTAAGAGCACAGTTGTAACTGGTCTACAGAAATTTTCTATACTAAAAACTCACTTCTACTTCCTTCCGTTAGGGTTGAATCAAAAAAATGAATTTTACAATTTTATTAACCAAACATGTCAACAACAAATTTTAAGTTGCAATTATCAAAATAATCGTATTCTTTTAGAGAATTGTCCTCAATTTGTCTAAATACTTTTTTTTAACCGAGATTTATTTTATTTTCTCGACAACACAATTATAAGTATCATTTGATATAAACTTTCTCATCTAATCTCATAGATGGTTTGCTAGAGACTAGACTTAAGATCAAACATTGATTTAAAAAAAAAGATTAGCTTTTTCCGTGAAATCTAAGTAAAAAGCTTCTTAGTGTAGCTTCTTTGGAGCTGAACATATATTCTTAAACCTTAATATTCTAATACATCATATGTAAACTGAAAAATTTCGTGTACACTGTAGTTGTTTTCATTGATAATCAATGACAAGAGTGAGACTTTGTTATTTATGTCTACATTTAAAACAGAAACTTTTTGTTTTTGTTTGAGAGCGCCCTATTTTTCTTTTACACAACATTCTAATTATTATAATCATTGAATTAATTGACAAATCTGTTTTATATTAATCAACTATCTTTCAAAATTATAACTTGATCAATTTTTCCAAAAAAAAAACTAGAAAGTCTGACGCCGGTTATTCTTAATTGCTAAGATCTGTAATGGAGAGGGGAGAACTGCACAAACTTGAACTTAAAACTTACACTCATTATTTTTATTCGAAAATATACGTGAGTTTCACAAAAGTCCATTTTTCTAGACTTCATAGATTATGAGAGATAAGTTATTTGAAGAATTAATATCTTCATAAGAAAGTATTTTCTTTTCATTTAAACTTTTAGAATATTTAAATGATTACAAGAACTACGTATGAATGAAATTTTGGATTGAAATTCTATTATTTAATTTTTCTGTATATACTTTATGCTAGATAGGCAAATAATCATAACCTTCAAAGAAAACGTCATTAATACATGGACAAAATATCATTGAAAACGACATAAATCAGTAGGAGATCTTTCCTCGTAAGTGTTGCTTTTCTTCTAACTCTCAGCTAATTATCTATTTTCTTCCATTTAATGAGAACGATATTTATAGAAAAAGTTCTGTAACCTGCTGACATACAAAAAAAAAAAAAAAAAACTTCAGCTCTTATCTTTCTATCTGAGAGGTACTCTTGAATGTATGAAAATACTATTTTAAGATAAAACAAAACAAAAAAAGGATTTGATTTAAAACTCTTTTACCATTTGCAAGTATTTCTAATGTTATTATTTCAGCATCAGTTCCACCATGCATTATTTTATATTCTCCTGATGGAATTTTAAATAACCATAATTGTGAATCATTTGTTCCAACAAATAGAACATGTGCTGATGGATGAAAACGCATTAATTCAATATCATTTCCTGTATGAAATGTCCAAACTTCATTTATTGGTAAATTATCTTGATTATTTGTCCAACAACGTATTTGTCCACGCATATCACATGCACATAAATATTTACCATCAAAACTCCAACATATTTGATGTACACTATCATCAAATAATGGATATTCATATATTAATTCACCAGTATCTAAATGCCAAAGAAGACAACGATCATCTTCACCACCTGTACAAACACGATTTTGTAGTTGTGGATCAATTGATATTGTAAATATTGAATTTTCATTTTTATGATGAGATATTTTTAATAATGCATCATCATTTTCTTCTTCTTCTTCTCCTTCTTCATCGGCCATATTTTCTGCTAAATCAAGATCATCTAATTGATTTTCAACAATATTTTCTGTTGTTGAATCAATATCAATTACTTCAAATGCATCATTAACATCAATATGAATATGATTATCATCATCATCGGAATCTGAATGTGCATGACGTTCAGGTGAATTTTTATGCAACATATTCGTTTATTTATTTTTTTTGTATTTTCTAGAATGTAAATGAAATTTACTTGATCAATCAACAATATAATGACGATGATGCATATGAAGAAAATTCTATGATTGGTGTATTTTTTTCACGAATAGAAAAACATCAAGTGTAGTTTGTTTATAATGCAAAAAAAAATCAATTTTAATTTTTTGAAAGATATGAATTTAAATAAAATTTTTATCGAAAAACAAAAATATATTTCTAATAAATTTATTGGTTAATAAAACGAAAAAAAAAATTTTAAAACGCATTAGCATAATATGCGAGTATGTTTATTCTTATGTCGACATGTGTTCTATGTTTATGATATAAATATTCAAGAGAAACAACAAAACAAAAAAGTTTTCTGTAAGTCAATTGTTGAATTGATATCTTTTACCTGTGTATATTTAAATAAAAGATATTCGAAATATTTTTGCACTTAAGACATTGACATAGTTTTATGATTAAATACATCTAAAATAATAAAAGAAGTTACTCTGTAATAAATTATTATTTATTTATAATATTATGATGCATACTGAAGATATTTCATAAGACAACAATTGTTAGAAGTATTATCCATATGTATTCGTTATCATTCGTTCTTTTTATATATAAATGTTGTTAGCTATGCCTATGTCTTCTTTTCTTTCTATCAGGTATTTGCTTTCTCTTAGTTTCTATTTTCAGTAGTTTTTCTTGCTTTTTTTTTTTATATAACAGTCCATACATATTCTGATTATATTATATTTAGCTATTCGTATATTCTATCTAACATGTGCTATAAACATTTGTTGTTTCTATTTGAAGAAATCTATTCTAACTGTAGCAATAAACTTCTATTATATAGTAATGTACGATGAATCTTACATATACAGTGTTGGGAATCGAATATCGAAAGTTTAAATTCTTTTTTTTTTTTATCGAAACAAATATCAAGTGATTCAAAGTGTTTGCAAGATAATTTATTTTTGCATGTTTTCATATAGACAAATTATAAAATATTAGTTTTTTTTATTACAATGTATTATTAAATCTTCTAAAAAAATAATCAATTTTAAAAGATATACGACATGTTGTACAAAAACTTCATTGTTGAATACAATGATACTTTGAATGTTCAAAAAATCACTAGAAAGCATTCAAAATAGACAAAACATGATTAATTGTTTAAATAAAAAACATCATCAAAATTAATAAGCTTTATTAGATATCGTATTTTGTTGTTTGATACAAAGAGTTTAACTCAAATCTAAATAGTAGCTTGAATAGCAAATGAAGTTTTCTATCAAATACATTCGATACTGGAATTTCATAGATAAAATTTATGAGAATAATACGATTTTAGAAGTCAAAATAATTTATTTCGATGCATTCTGTTGGATATATTTGAAAGATTCTCTCTCATATTATTATTCACTTATACTATCTATTCTTTTAGTTAAATATACATATTCCATATGAATGTTGTCTTACGTCGTTATTATTATTTGTCTTAGTCATGCTATTCTTATTTCTGGTTCACCACCAATAGTTTTATGGCATGGAATGGGTGATAGTTGTTGTAATCCATTAAGTCTTGGTACAATAATTAAATTATTAAAACGTCAATTACCTGGTCCATATATTCTTTCATTACGTATTGGATCAAATATCGTTGAAGATACATCAAATGGATTTTTTATGAATGTTAATCATCAAATTGATTATGTTTGTAAATTATTAAATAGTGATGAAAATCTTTCACAAGGTTATCATGCTATTGGGTAAAAAAATAATCAAAAGAAAAAAATATTTTTTTTTGTTTGTCTTATGAAAGAAAGTGGCGCTTACACCCCTTCCCGCGGTTTTTTTTTCGTACAAATATTTTTTGGTTGTTATACAAAATCACCCAACTAGACCTTGGGCATTTTTAGTCTTAGCAAAAAAACAATCAATATTTTAGAGAACGGTCATTATATAGGAAAGTACTAGAAAATAGAAAGTATTTAGAGGTTTCTGTAGTCGAAAGTTGATTTTTATGTAAAATGAATATGATATTCAGAATCAGCATGAAAAATTACACTAGACAATCTATTTTTCATTGTAAAATATTTTCCATGAAAATTTGACCCGTAGGCAATCAGAGGGGAAAATCTTATAGATAAAAGGTTGAGGATGGTACTGGTCAGATTTCCATGGAAAATATTTTACAATGAAAAATAGACTATCTAGTGTAATTTTTCATGCTGATTCTGAATATCATACTCATTCCATATAAAAACCAATTTTCGACTACAGAAAACTCTAAATATTCCCTATATAAATGACCGTTCTCTGAAATATTGCTTTTTTTGCTAAGACTAAAAATGTTCAAGATCTAGTTGGGTGATTTTACATCTTCATACTATCCACAACCAAAAAATATTGAAACAAAAAGAAATCTTGCGAGGGGTGTATCCGCTAGAAAAAGCACCACTTCCTTTTTATGTTTGTTTGAAGTTTTTCTCAAGGTGGACAATTTTTACGTGCTATAGCACAACGTTGTCCTAATCCACCTATGCTAAATTTAATATCAATTGGTGGTCAACATCAAGGTGTTTTTGGTTTTCCTCGTTGTCCAGGTGATAATGAAACAATATGTAATTATATTCGTGATTTATTACGTTTTGGTGCTTATGAATCATTTGTTCAAAATCATCTTGTTCAAGCAGAATATTGGCATGATCGTAGATATATATATATATATATAAATCATTTGAAAATTATTCATATTTTTCTTTTTTTTTGTTAAGCTCATAAAGAAGCAACCTATCGTAAAGCAAGTATTTTCTTAGCTGATATTAATCAAGAACAAACATTTAATGAAGCATATAAAACAAATTTATTAAAAATTCGTAATTTAATTCTTGTAAAATTTTTACGTGATACAATGGTGACACCACATGAAAGTGAACATTTTGGTTTTTATGAAGAAAATAATACATCAAAAATAATACCATTACGTGAAAGTTCATTATATTTAAATGATTTATTAGGTTTAAAAATAATGGATGAACAATCACGTATTAAATTTCTTGAATCAGATACGGATCATTTACAATTTACTGATCAATGGTTTATTGACAATATAATTCCATATCTTCAAGATTAAAAAGATCTTCTGTTTTGTTTTTTGAATAAAAATTATTAAATTTCAGATAACATATAACCTGAAAATATTAAATAAGGGTAAGCATGAGGTTGTGAATCAAAGTTTTCATTTAAAAGATTAGAAGCTACAATAGATATTTCATCATTAACTTGACAATATAAAAGACAATCTATTAAACCATTAGATAAACCCGAAACAATAGTTTTATTATGACTTATAACTATTGATTCTAGCCGAACTGTACACATATCTTGACCATTTTTTGTAATATAAAAAGATGCCTTTAAAAATAAAACAAAAAGAAAAAGAATTTCAATTATTAATTCATAAATTAAAAGAAAATTTGTTTATCTAAACCTTAATACTAGAAACTGTAATAGTAAGAAAAAATTGATAAAGACCCTTTGTTGGTACAGTAAATATTCCTGTATGTTTTGAAAAATAATTTAAAACATTTGGAATATTAAACAAATCAGATACTGTCCATGGTCGAAGTATCCTATCGAAATTTTTTGTAATATCAATATGTCGTAATTCAGCATAAAACGAAGTTGGTTGTACAGTAAAACCATCACGACCTAAGAATAAAATCTTCTTGAAATAAAAAATAATAGATTATCAAAAAATTATTTGATAAAATGTTCGTTCATTTTTCATTCTTTGAAAACATTGAGTTCGAATCGAAATTTTGCATATTGTTTTCAACTAATCGATTCAACATTTCTCTAGGACTTCTAATTAAGGAGTCATTTTACATAAATTGACATGATGTTTTTTACCAAAAATAACTTGCAGCAAACTAATCATTAGTATACATACCATTTTATAGAGAAATACAGGTCTCGAAAAGGTTGGTTCATCACTCTTAAGGATACCCTCTCTGTTGGATCATTTGTAGTTCTTCGCGACAGTACAACTGATTGGGCTTAAATTTTTACCACAGCTACATTATCAAAAAAGATAGAGACATACAATTCCAGTCTTACTTTATCCGATCGATCTGAAATTTTTCCTTTGACGTACCTCTGAGACAAAATACATATGATGTCTTCGGAGAATTTCCTCGGAAACTCTTCGAAGACATCTAATCACAAAATCTCAGAACGTGATTTTCAAAAATATCAATCTTTCAATATTTTCTTAATTAAAATTCGAGAGATTGATATTTTTAAAAACACATTCGAGACTTTGTCGCAAATACCTCTAGAAAAAATTTCAGTCCAATCGAACAAAGTAAGATCGAGTTCGTAAGTAAGTTCGACTTTTAAAATTCTTTTTTCTTGAACATGGGATTCTACTTGGATCCGATGGGTTCTAAATATGGATCTCATTATTTTTGATAATCTAGTTGTAATAAAAATGTGAATCCGATCCGTTGTACTCTTGTCGAGAACCAGAAGTAGTTTAAAAGAGAAGGGTATCCTTCCCTTTCCGAATATTACAAATGAAATTTTTTCAATTTTTGATTTTTCATCGCTAATATAAATTTTGTCAAATTAATTTTCGATAACTCTTTATGGAATTGTACACGGTTAGAAAAAATATTATTCCAGGGGGGTAACGCTAGAGTTTCAAATAGAAGACATAATGAATTTTATATCAAATGAAAGCTCGTCAAAAATGGGGTTTATTGATACTAAATAGTGAGGCTTGTAAAAACTTTCTAATGTCAAACTTAAGAAGTTTTCAGAAATTTTATATTTTTTTGGGGTGGAAAATCAAAGTGCCACTGATTCAAAAATGAAGTCAATTTTTTTTCTTGAATATTTTTACATGGTTTGATAGACCTCGTTGAGCTCTACAAAACTGTGCATGTTAAAAAATTTTTGAGGCATCTTTTTGAGATAAAAAGTT